CCCCCAGAACATGGCATTTTGTTGTGTCATATTCCACTTCTGATGCTGCAAGCAGAGGATGGGCTTCTAAATCCTCTTTTTGTGTCCCACGGCCTGGTATAGTGGGAAGCACACACTCCCTGAGATTTTTGGTTTGGGTTGACACAGGGGGGAGGAGGAAAGCTGGGAGTATCCAGTTTTTCATGTTTGCGTGTGTCATTACTGTACGGAAGAGGTCTAGATTTTAAATCCTCTTCTGGTAAACAAAGGAAAGGCAGCTTAGGTGTATGTGTCTGGTCAGGGGGTGAGGAGAATTATCCTTGATTGACACGGACAGGCTCATGCTATGATATTATACGACAAGACCGTGCATTGCTGTTGTCCGTATCTGTCTCTTTGTTGTACTTTGTTCTAGATCCCGGCTGCATTTGCTGCTGAAAATAGCAGCCTTACTTACCTGTGAATAAAGGTTAAAATGCCTTCTTCAAAAAGTTGTGCCGGTGTTCTGCTCTTTTCAGATCTCATCTGTTCCCTCTCCTTTTAGCAGAACCACTGTAGGTAACGCTTTCAGAGCCCCAGCCTTGTCTTTGACAGCCAGTACTGTAAACTTGGTCCTGAAGCTGCAGGTGAGGCCTCAACTTTGGTTTTTTCCCTGTTCGTATCAGGATGAAAGCAGGCGTAGGCTTTGCTCTACTACATTATTAATAGCAAATGCTGCCCTTTTTGTTCCCCAGACTTGATTCTGTAATTAGTCAGGTGTTATTAATAGTTTAGGATAGAACTGGCTTTCTGGCATGCAAGCTGTTTTGTTTCTAAACAAAAATTTCTAGGAAATACTAAAGTTAGCACACTGTGTTGTTCATTCTTTTCCTGTTTCTTGTTCTTCTCCCTTTGAAATGAAGAGCTAACTTAAAATGTGAGAGAACCAATTTGTGGGATGGTGACCTCCCTGCAGCTGGAGCCCTCGCTTACTGGGATGATGCGCTCCTAATGGTATATCCTAATCCCAAATGTGCTCCTGAAGAGCACAAGCAGGCACTCTCATGTTCAGGCATGAATTCAGTTATCAGCTGCAGGTGGAGCTGTACTAGCTCAGTAATGATCTTCCACTCAGTAAAAACCAAAACATTGCATTTATTTTCCTCCTAAAATTGCATTACATTCCCAATGTTCACATTCAACACTGTAAAAAGAAAGGGAAGGTACGGTTTTTAGCCTTAGGCTAGAGAGAAGTGCCTTCGGTGGAGATGGAAGGAGGGCTAAGGAAAATGCGTAAGGAAAAAGGGTTTCTCAGTGCTTTCCTTCTGAACCGTTTCTGTTCCCTTTCCCGTGTCTGTGGGCACCCACCTGCCCATTCCACGAGGAGGAGATGGAGATAACGCTGTCTTACCCAGGCGTAACAGTCTCAGCTGAAGCCTGCTGAAGTCATCAGAAAGATTACCTGCCTTCGGTCGTGCCTTCTACTGAAAAATAAAAAGGCTGTGGACAAGCAATCCCGGCGAGAAGCGAAGCACCCCGGAGCCGGCGCAGGGGCGCACCGGATGAGGCGCAGCCGGCGGCGGAGCGGACTCCCGCGGCGCTGGGGCGGCCGAGGCCGGGGCGCT